TAACATAATTAGACAGGAGATTTTGCTGAAAATCTTCAAAATGTTTTCCAAGTTAGCCATTTTTTAAGGTTTAAATTTGTACTTCCTGGTTGGAAATCATGGAATTACATTAGGGAACCCAGCAGTAAATAGGCCAAAACTTCTTTAATGTACACAGAGAGTATTATTTCACAAATACTATTACAGAAAACACCTTTATTTTGTTGAAATTGTGTTTAAAGTACCGTATTTTTTTAAGTTGTTCCAGAGTATAAGTCGCACTTTTTGGGGGAAATAAATTTTATAAAATAAGAGACCAGAAACCGATATTTCATCTTGAAAGTCAAGTTATAGTGACAATAACAGAACAGAGAACAACAGGCTGTTAACATCATATATGAACAGTTATTCCCGACAGGATGAAGTCCAGGCTTTGTCGATCCATCCAGTGACTTCCAGGAAAGTTGCATGTCATATCCTCCCAGTGTCACAAGTTTCTCGCTGACTCCAAACTTTCTTTCTGCTGCTCAATTACTGTTTTCAGCTGCAGATTTTGCTACTTTCAGCTTGTGATCTGCAAAATATAATTGTCTTTTGAGGGCATTTGTGTTCAGTCTTCTCAGTCTTTATCAGATTATTTAAATTTTAAATTTTCAGTGATACAGAAGTAATGGTGTGATCGACTGACATGATACAAACAGGACAGAGGCTCTTTCTGCAGGAGACATGCGCAGTAGAGCCAAGTGACAGTGGTACAGGAGTAACAGGAGCAGCAGATACTGACACACAAGACTAGAGTGCCCGCTCATGGCTGTCAGTGTGAAAATTTTAATATATAAGTCGCACCAGAGTATAAGTCGCAGGACCGCCGAAACCATGAAAAAAGTGCGACTTATAGTCTGAAAAATACGGTAAAAAAGATGTTTCTTAAGTGTAAATTGTGTCAAACGTTTGGATAGAATTCTCCCAGTGTGGTCATCAATATGTTTTAAAACTCTCTACTTCCTGCAATTTTCAACATATATTTATATTTTTTTACTTTTCTTCACAAATGTGTCTTGATTGGTGTAAAACTATAATTCATATTTACAAAACGTTTTAAACCAGAATTGTAGAATCATAAAAAACCTGTCACACGCACTTTAACACCTACTTTTTACTTTTAGTTCAGTAGAGAACAGCAATTCCAAGGCTGAAATTATCCAAATTATTCTAGCGAAGGTGTATGGAGTTTACAAACAGTGGAGCACTTCCTGTATTACTATGAGTGTTTTCTGTTTGAGAGAATAACTCAGCCTAAATATGCAGGATTTGTGTGTTTAACATGCAAATGAAACAAAACACAATTCCGGGTTTGTTCGCGATGAGGAAACAACATTATAACACAGATCAGAACATAACGTAATATACAATAGACCCTCCGTAGTCACAAAAGAGGCGCTCGGAGTAACATAAACTGCATGTAAACAGTGAAAAGCCGTACTTATTGTGGCCCTGATTACAAACTTGTCAACAGAAGGTGAATCACGAATGGTAATAACATGTGGGGCTTGGTTAAATACAGGTGCATGCCCCTTTAATCAGAACGAGATGACAGGTTACATAAAGTGTAAACTGAAAACGGTTGTGTCTGCGTTAGCGTTCACTTGGGGTTTGTAGTTCGAAGCCGTGCGTTCTCGACAAAACCTCCCCGTGTGTCGTAGGTTTAGTTGGTTGAGGGTTTGAGAGGTTGCTATGTGAGAAATGTCAGGCAGCTGAAGTTGGAATTCCTATAGGTTTACATAGGCTAGTGTAAAAAACACGTTAGCAGGGGTAGGTGATTATTTTTTCCATGGGGCCACGTGAGAAACAGAAAATATTTTGGAAGGCCGGGACCAAAATATCTAACAAAATTCTGCATAATATTAATTGTATTTCTTCATAAAAAAAAGCAGTAAATATCATTGTTTTGACACTCTGGTAAGACTGATAAGAGTTTATGTTATGACTAAGCAATGAAAAAGTGAGGTTGAATAGGAAGTGAGCATGGGGGCACTTCCGGCTCCATCGGCTCTGGCTCAAATTCACTTTCCTTTGAAAAATTGTCACCCTTTTCTTTGTAATTTCTGCAGTGAGTCGTCATTTTGGTCTTGTATTAAAGGTGCACTCTGTAACTTGCCATCTGTTTGTCACCATGGTGATGTTATAGCTTTGCCTGGAATGTTCCACAATAGAATTAAACAAATATATCTTCTATTTATTCATTTACAGGTGTTTTTACTTCTCAAAACTACTGCAAAACCATACATTATTATTGTGTTCAGGTCCACTTCTACGCAGATCTGACTTGTAACTTGGTCTGGTGGTGACCTTCTTGTTTCCATGGTGATGTTATTACTTTCTCTGGGGTGTTCCACAACAGAATTAAACAAATATATCTTCTCTTTATTCATTTATAGGTGTTTTATTATTCAAAACTACTGCAAAAATATGCATTATTATTATGTTCAGGTCCACTTCTGCGCAGATCTGATTTGTAACTTGGCCTGTTGGTGACCTTCTTGTCTCCATGGTGATATTTAAATTTAATGCCATACCAGAGAAAGGTTACACAGTGCACCTTTAATCCACTCCACATGTCCGTACACAAATTCCGATTCCTAAATTTGCTCCTATTGCTGCCAGTCTCATTGAGCTTCATTTGACTGGGTGTGACTATGTGCATGAAATGGAAACCCACACACAAATACACAAACAGTACACAGTATTTTAAATATTTCTGTATGGGTTTTTTTTTTTTCAGTCTTTGACAAAAAGTGATACCTACATTCGTACTCCGATTACTGACTTTATGGTGACCCAGAGCAGGAAATGAGGCAGACTAAAAGATTGGCAAGGGTGAATAAAAATATGTAATGCTTACTCCGGAAGAAGCCGTTGGCACCACAATCGTCATTGGGGTTGTATTACTGTACATCGTGACAGAAAATAAGTTGTTTACTGACTTCAAAGCCAAGTTCAAGACACTCAGAGAAAGGGTGCACTTTTGACTTGTTGGTGCACATGAAGATAAATTAATGGTTCAATTCAGTTTTCAGTTTTAGCCTCACAATTTTAGATTTAGTTTATCTAATGTTTTACTGGAACTTCAGTCTTTTTTGATAAGTGTAACTATAAAGTAATAGGGGAAAATATCACAAGATCTTCATGTGTGTAGTCTCTTTTTTCGATCTTAAGGCACAAGATCTTAAGCCTGATTAATCAGCTGGTTTAACTTCGTGGAAACCGTCTGACTTCGCAGCATTAGGATTCGTTCGCTCGATGGTAAGTGGGTGCTTTTTTTATTAACCAAACGCTGCTATTTGGCCGTGATGTATGTAATGCGCCAAATCCCGTAGGAAGAAGGGCAATAACGTCTTTCTCCTTGATAAAATTCACCATTCTTTTTGTTCTGCTTTAAATCCTCAATCTCAGGAATCGTTGCCAACACAGAATGGTTCTCGCAAACCGCCTAGTGTATTCCGATTCCTGACCTAGTCACTGGAAAGAAATGAAATTGAGCAGAGGCACTAGGTGGTGCCAGCCTGGCTACAAGATCTTGTCCCACCTCTACAAATCAACCTACTTTATATCGTATTTTAGTTGTCAAACCTTTCTCATATCTCCATTGAAATAAATGGGATTCCCGTTTAATTGATTGTTCCACTACAAAGAATGCATAGTTTAGTAGCATTTAGAGTACAAAAGTTGGCAAGGTGCAATAAGGTCAATACTTTAATTGGATTTTATATACACTACCGCTCAAAAGTTTTAGAACACCACACTTTTTCAATTTTTTTACTGTTTACTCTTGACCAAAACGTATAAAACTGACCAAAACTTGCCCAAAACTCTAAACTGATTCATGAAAGTGTCCACCTTTGGCAGATGTAACAGCTGAACACACTTCTTTTTACAATAGAAATTAAATTTTCTTCAGAAAGTTCTTCCCAAGTCTGTTGCAGAAGTTTCCATAAATGTGTGGCACTTGTAGGTTTCTTGACTTTCACTCTTCTGTCCAGTTCATCCCAAACCAGCTCCATGGGGTTTAAGTCTGGACACTGTGCTGGACACTTCATGTTTTCAAGATTTACCATCTTGTTCTTTTTTCCTGAGGTAGTTTTGGCAGAGCTTGGACTTGTGTTTTGTTCTTTTATCTTTTTTTAACCTCTGTCTGTTCACTTCTTACCTTTATACCATTTCAAGCTCTTCATTGGACTAGCACGACTTGAATTGCAATAAATAACTGGAAAAATTTGGGTCTTTTAAAACTTTTGACCGGCAGCATGAAGCAAGAAATCGTAGTCTTATCCTTTGAAAACATGATATTTTGTTGATATTGTCATTTTGTAATTTTATCCACCCAGATCCTCCATATTGGTCAGGTTGTGTCATGCTCCGAATCAGTCAAAATATTCCAAATTCAAGAGTAATGATCATATTGAAATCATGATCTGGTTTCTGAGAAAATTGTTTTTCGGGTCAGACCTGACGAAAAATGTCAAGGTTTAACCCCACACTGCCTTCAAATGACAAAAAAAGCTCTAATATGTATGTCTAGGGTGGTCTGAGGTTGTTTGGAGACATTTCCAGCTATTTTTTTTTTTTTTGCATATCACACACCCCTAATTTACATAAAAATAATTAAATTTCCCTGTCAGATCAGTTTCACTAATCAGCATTTTGATGTAAACACCATTCAGACATTATTAACATTAACTCTAGTCATGTTATTTCCTCTCCACTTTGCTCAATTCCCAGCCCGAATTCAATTATTCAAACATCAGATTAAACATAATCCGGGATTAGAAGCGTTGCTCAGATTAGAGTAATCTTTGTTAGTGCTGCTGTGCCCTGCGTTGGTTATCAGTGTGCGGAGTATGGGAGTGGGAGGAGCCACGGAGACACACCTAGTCACACATAACAGGAGGAGTGCTTCTAAATATACCAGAGGAGAGAGGCAGGCACTTCAGAGTCATATGACCTGGGCCCATTCCACAGATAGTGACGGACAGAGCGCTCACTCCTGCTATTATTACACCAGAGGAGGATGTTTCGCAATTCACTCCAGAGCTACTGAACTCACCGGATACTACGGCTTTACATCTTCAAGTATACCTACGCTTAATACTGCAGATAGCCACAGGAACAATGCCTGAAGAGAAAGGTTGGTCATTTCCATTCATTATTTTTTACTTCAGTGACCAGTTTTGGCCAAGATTCCAATTAGTAAACCAATTTTGACATTGCTTTTCATACTATAACCTGGAGAAAGGCTGTGCAATTCTGGAAAAAGTCAAATTGCAATTCGCCAGAGTAGTTTTGCGTGGATTTATAATAAAAATAATAACACAATTTATTCATATAGCGCTTTTCTAAACATTCAAAGGTGCTGTACAAGGAATGCAGTTAAAAAGAAAAGCAGGTTAAACATTAAAAGTGATTCTAAATAGAAGTTTTGTGAAATATATGTGTAAAAAGTAGAAGAGTGTTCAGGGTGTGCAGTGTAAACAACTCCAGGAGTGTTAACCTTTGAGATAAGTGTGAAATATGAACTGATACAAGTATCTGATGCATTTCAGAACATGTTTCTAGTGATCTAAAGTACATTTACGGCAAGATTTCTCATTAAAAAGACAGAATATTTAGTGTTTTGAGACAGAGTACATTCTATTCTCTAAGTAATTGCAGCTTTTGTATTTTGCTCGTGGCGCCAACCTTAATTGTGATTCGATTGTGATATATTGCGCAATCGGTAACCTTTCTGTTATGTAAGGCTAAGGGCTGTCGAGTTGAAGTTTACCATGGTATGATTAGTAGCCGTATGGTCGGAGACAGACTGGAAGGAAGCAGCGTCCCTGGCAACCGCGGTGTTGTTTTGGTCATCTGCCCTCTCGTCTGCCAGTGGGAGCTCAGCCATTTGGGCCGGGGTGAAGGAGAAATCACTGTGATGTTTCTCCAGCCGGTAGCCTTGTATTTCATAATAAGGTCATTGATGTTTCAGGCCTTTGCGTTGACTTATAATCAGCTTGTGCTTCGTGTTGCTGTTGCTTTTATCTCCATCTCTCTTCACGGAATGGCTTGCAAGAGATTGTTTGTTGTGTCAAAGCGGGGTGACCTTGTAGAGACCCATAATAAAAGTCAATAGAGATTTTTCGTAAATCACAAAATAAAGGTGGATTTGAGCATTATTGAACATTAATGAGGATATTTTATTGTTGACTCAGTGATCGTGGCTCTTTGAACAATTAGTATTTCTCAAGTTTTAATTGTACCAGCAATAAAGGTATCCATAAGTCGCCTATTTGGGCTTTAAATATAGCTCTTTTTCTTTTTATATTCAATTGAATCAGCAAAAGTGGAACAAAATAGTCAATAAAATAATTACAAAAATAGTAGAAATTATGCAAAACATGTCTTAACATTTCAACCTACAGATCGTGACAAGGCGACCCCCCAAAAAAATCTCTTGTGACCCTTGTGAAGCTTTTGTGACTAGGCTATTGGTATACACTAGTTATATTTACGTACTCATATTTTTTGTGTTTACATGCACACAATTTTTATTTTATTCATTGTATTTTTATAATTTTTTTCCCAGTCCTGTTGGTTCTTATAACATTCTCGTAAAATATAAAATAATCGTGTTTTTGTGATTTATATAAGTTGTTACTGATGGTGTTCCTCAGGGATGTGTATGCATCCCATTGAAGTTTGTACTTAAAGGTTCTATATTTGGCAAATTTGATTATTTTAAGCTTTTAGCCATGTTAGAATGTTGTTATCTCATCAAAACATGCTTGGAATTGTGTTTTGTTTCATTTACACAAGTTTGAGTAATGCCCAAAATGCTCTGTTTACAAGTTATCAGCTACCTTTACCTTTAGCTCAGTAGAGATTGGTAATTCCAGAGCTGAAAATATTCATCTGACTCTAGTGAAGTTTAAAACCACAAGGCATCACACGGTAGAAACTGAAAATACTCAGATTTTCAGTTTGAGAAAAGAACTCGGCCTAAATTTGCAGGATTTGTGTGTTAAACGTGTGCGAATAAAACAAAACACAACTCCAGGTCTGTTTGTGATGAGGAAACATTATCACATAAATAAAAAATAGTGCAATATAGGCTTTTTAATACTCACTGAAAACCTTTATTAAGTTTAAATAGTGTGGTGTATCACTGACAGTACTACCGTAATAGAATTTAAGATTACTTCAGTTTGCTAATAGTTTACATAATTTGCTCTACGATTTTAGCTCTCAAAAATATCAATACCTGTTGGTCTTTCTTAATTTTTAACTTGACTCTTGGGACATTGTTTGGTCAATTTAACACTCCACAAATACGTCCTGTCGTCTCGCCCTTTATGAGCCCGTAAAAGACAATTCAGTGTGTATATTTGTCTGAGGGCTTTAGAAATGCCGAGCTGTAACTGTGTTTTGCATCCATGGTTACGGGCACGCAACCAGCGCAATGTGACAAAGTCTTTTGCGGTGAACTGGCTCCAGCGACACGCCCGTCTACACACACACACACACTCACACACACACACACACACACTCACACACACACACACACACACACTCACACACTCACACATTAGCCACGTGCTTCAGTACAAATAGACACACCACAAAACACATGTCAACAGCAGATTTGTTGACTTATCTGTGTTCACTTTTTTTGTTCCATTTATACATAATATAAATAGCTGTGACATTTATTGAGACTCTTAAGATACACTGTGGTATGATACACAGTTGACAGTACATAAATATATCTTTAAACTATTATAATCTTGTTTTAGTTGAGATTTTGGATGGGTCTTGTTTCAAAATGTTATTTGATTTCAGTATATAGAGCTTCTTCAGTTGGTAATAATCACAGGTCGGGTAGTGCTGTGTCTTTGGGCGAGATATATATTTTTTTAGTTCGTTTAGTTTATTTTCATTTATATTTCACCCACCTTGAATTCTGTGTATGAGTTAACATGCACAGTCCTGGCAAAACAAACCACAGGTAGAAAGTAACTACGTACAAACCCTCATGCTACTGAAATTGAGTCCAATTTTGGGGTAATTATACTTTTCTGAGTAGAGTTTAAACATGTACTCGTATAATTTTAGTTGTTGTAGCAGTCACAACATGTTTCAGTGCTAAACTGGTAAATTAATCAAGTTTTGTTTACAAGACAGATCTTACATGTTATAACTAGTATTTTGAGTATTATTTTTATGCAAATTTTAGTAGACAGTACTTTTTAAAACTTTCTCTTACTCTTACTCTTACTTACCCTTTCCAGCACAGCTCAAATCCAGATGAATATAATACTATATACTAATCCATCTCAAAAATGAATTTGAATATCATGAAAAAGTTCAATATTTTTTATTATTGATTTCAGAAAGTCAAACCCATATATTTGTATTTATTTTGTGTTTATGTGTTTATTTTGGGCAAGTAAAGATTTACATTTTTATACAATGGAACATATGACATAAGTGAAATCATAACAACAACAAATTTGTCCAAAAAGGAGTGGCAAAAAGAAAACTTAGTTAATCCCACCCCCAATCTTCTAATCTAATATATTCTAATATATTATAGAGACTCATGGCACAGAGTGAAGCTTTAAAGTTTGAAGCTGAAACGAGTGATATTCTGAATTCAAGTCAGTTTAATTCGTTTGCTCGCCTCACAATCACAGACATCTGTCCTCTACCGTGTCCTCCTCTAGTCTATGTCCTCCTCTATTCTTATGTGCTCCTCTGTTTATGTCCTCCTCTACTCTGTTTTCCTCTACTCTATGTCCTCTTCTAGTCTATGTCCTCCTTGACTTGATGTCCTCTTCTAGTCTATGTCCTCCTTGACTTGATGTCCTCTTCTAGTCTATGTCCTCCTCTGTTTATGTCCTCTTCTACTCTATGTCCTCCTTTACTCGATGTCCTGCTCTGTTTATGTCCTCCTCTACTCTATGTCCTCCTCCAGTCTCTCTGACTATGTCCCACTGTATCCAAGGACAGTGTATCCTGCGCCTGTGATGTAACGACTGGCCGGTGTGCAGCAGCCGCACTGACGCCTGACACTATTCGAGACACGCCGCTCCACGGGGCTGTGTGTCCACGGGCTATTAAAAAACCCATAGACAAAATCTGCATATGAATCAGTGTAACCATTTGGGTGGTAGGCATCTGAAAAGGAAAACTGACAAGTACATATGTGCGTGCAACATACCTCATACGCAGCCCAGAGTGACCTTTTAGGTGAGGGAGCACGCTTGTCGGGTCAGTGGGAAAAGTGTAAATCTAGCTGTGTTAGTGGACAGGTGATAGATTTAGGACTGGGGTCTCCAAACTGTAGCTCTCCACCCACTTCCAAGTAGGTTTTGTGCTAAATAACTCACATTTCACAAATTAAATGCCTGTTGTTATTGTAAATATGTCATTTTGTGCACTAAAAACGGATAATGGATCATGTTTTATAAGAATGTAACTACTAGTAAACCCCATCTAAGACTTGTCACGGATCTTATCTATACTCAGTTTCATGCGACCGCTAAAATGTGTTGGTTTTGTAAAGGTTAGGGTTGTAACAATAACCGAAATATCCTGATATTGTGTCGTCAAATGTCTTACAATAATATCATGGGATGTCACAATAAGTTCTTTTGCTTAAATGCATGGTTTTATAGTAACAACAGCTTATAAACATTGGGAACTACATATCCCATGATTCATTTCAGTGCAAACAACATGAAGATATGTTTTTTACTTGAATTCTTGGGATTATGATGGAAATAATTCACACTAAAATCTTGTCAAGGGATTTTAAAAGCAAAAAAGTGTCCCATCTACAATTATATTAGCCAATTTAGAATATCGCAATAAATATCATACCGTCAGATGCATATCGTGATAATATCGTACCGAGAAATTTGGATATCGTTAAATCCCAGAGACCCTTGGTTTAGGATTTTGGCATCATGGGACTTTTTTGGACTATTTGGACTTGGATAATATTAGTTAGTTATTAGGAGAGAAAAATACCATTGTATGTTGCCAAAAAAGAGAGAAAAAGAACCCATTATAATAGTTAGGGGTGTGCAAAAATATTGAAATATCGATATATCGTATCGTTTAATGTGATGATACAGAATCGATATCGTG